GCTTGTGTGTGTATGTGCATGCATGAGAGGAGAGAGATTGCTACTGGCACCTAATGGGTAGATAACACAGAATATATGGCAAATATCCTGCAATGCACCTGGCAGGGTCCCACAGAAAGAATTATTTTGTTCCAAGTGTGAATAAAGTGGAGCTTCAGAAACAGTCTAGATGGAAAGAGGATATTGCTCGGACTTTTCCCAGCACTTGGGTATCACTTAGTGAAGAGGGTGCACAACTGTGTGTTCTCTGAATGACTGGCCCCAGGGAGTCCTAAAATTGTTTGCACTTGTTTATGCCCTCCTGTCCTCAATGGTAGGGTCAGTCTCTAAGCGTCTGTGTGTGTGTGTGTGTGTGTGTGTGAGAGAGAGAGAGAGAGAGAGAGAGAATGATCACTTTTCAGAATTCAGTAAGTAATTCAACACCAATTATGCCGAGACTACAGCTGTAGGCATAACAAGTGACAACAAAAGCAACAACTACGCCATTAGTTAGCATTTATTGAAATTGAACAGATGCTGTGCTTAGTAATTTATATGACTTCTATCCATTGATATTATACAACATCCCTGAAGAACTACTAGCCTAATTCACATTACAGATGAAGCAACTGAGGCTTAGGAAAGACCAGTGACATGCCCAAGATCCCCCTGTTTGTCAGTCATGAAATGGATTGCAAAGGCAGGCATTTGAATTCTAAGATCCAAACTCCTAGTCACTAAACTGCACAGAGAAAGGAAAGAGCTTCCCCTGAAATAAAGTCTGTATGTGGGTTGACCACCCTAAGTGGTAATTTCCAGGGCATTTCATCCTGATAACTCAGTTTTTTTTTAATTTCACAATATTCCTTGCAAGCCCCAAATTCCAAGTCAGAACACTGTGGGCTTAAAGACCAGTTCCATGTATCTGCAGGCCATGTGCACTCCTTACTTGACCCCAGCCCAGGCAATGCAGGACGACTTTGTCCTCAGCCAGGCGAAGAGACAGCAGAGAGAGGACTGCTGGAAGAGAAGCTGCAGAGACTCAAGAGCCAGGCGCCGTCCTTCCAGGCAGCGGCTGGCTGGGCGCTGAGAGCCCTTGCTCTCAGCCGCCTACAGCTCCCCAGCAGTCTACGTGGCTACCCGCGTGGCGCGCCTGCCACTGTCTTGGTAAGCGCGGCCATTGCCCATTGCTTCCAGGAGGCTGCGATTGCTCCCACGGCTCTCCAGGGCAGCCTACCAGAAAACGAAAAGGTGTCTTCTGGGTGGAGAAAGAGAAAATGAAGACCTGGCTAAAGAATTCTGAAAGGAAGAAAGGAGTCTTAGGAGAACTGGACCCTCATGAACCTAGCGCCCAAAGTGGATCTGCAGCTTTTGCGAACAGCTGCGGACCGAAGGACTTCGGCAAAGGGCTGCAAAACTATACAGGATTCGGGGTGGGGTGGGTGCTCCAGGTGTGTGTGTGTGTGTGTCTGTGTGTGTGTGTGTGTGTGTGTGTGTACAGTCTCCAAGCTACGTTTACTTCTTCCTCAGAATCCCTCACCGACTCCAACTTCCTGGCAAGCCCGTCTGGGAAACTGCCTTTCTGATTCAGAGGTCTGTCACCGAAAAAGGGCGAGATCCTTCGCAGGTGCACTCGGCCACACCCTCCGAAATCCTTAAGTGACCCCTTCAGATTAGTCAGGGACCTCTCCCCTGGGGGAGGTGCTGCCCTAGGGTACAAACCTCGATCAATGGCAGATTGAAGCTAAAGGATATCAAATTTCAGACGCGTAGAGAGTGTCAACCCGGCAAAATAACGTCAGAATCACTGCTAATAAAATGTTAGTTTGGAGTCTATGGTATGTCTTGAAACACCTGCATTCGTTTAGATTGGCACAATGCCCCCTCCTCGGGGAGGGGTGCGGCCAGAGAACTGGCCCCAGCTACGAATAGGAGTCAGATCTTTGGGAACCGAGGAGGGAAGAGAGGAGGAAGGGTGCCAAACGGCGGGCTAGACCAACTCTCGTGTATCTCTTGTTACTGAGGCTCTCGGTGCAGGGTGGACTGAAAGTGGCCTTTTCATGGGAAACCAGGTCATGCCCGTCTTTATTCGTGGGGGAAATGGAGAGTGAGCACCGCCCTTAACTAGTTTTGAAAGAAAAGACTGAAGGTTTTTAAAATGAGTACCATTTGTGTCGCGTAACCCCCATCCGAGGGGCCTTCTCGGCGAAAGGAGACAGCACATCGGCTTTGCGCAAGAATGCGGAGTCCCGCGCTTCCTAGGGTGTGTGCACATTTTGTGTGTGTGTTGGGGTTGGGGGGAGGAGGGGCAGGAAAACAAGTGGCCCGGATCTTCAAGACGCTAAGTGGGAGTATTCAGGAGGTCTCCAGAACCTGGACGGGCTACTTCTCGCATCCGATTTCCCGAGCAACGTAAGTCCCCCGGACATGGTGGCCTTGCCCTCTCCGTCTGGGTGGAAACAGGGAGCCTTCTTCTCCTGTCTCCGTAACACGTAAAAACCCTAGCGCGTTTTCCCAAGGAGAGCTTGAGTGCGGATTCTAAGTCATAAGGATCTTGGAACTGTAACAAGACTCGGTGAAAACCTAACGTTCCTGAGCTATGGACTCCGCTCCTCAGGTACCTTCACCGGGACTCCCTAGCACCAGATCGCTCAGGGCTCTCGAAATTTCGGCTTTGCAGGCTCTGCAAACAGGGAAATCCCACTAAAAGAATTTGGCCAAAACAAAGTGAGGGGCCCTTTCGAGGGGAAACCGCATTGTCTCCATGGGAATTTGTTCCTAACATTTTATTAATTCCCAGAGAAGCGCAGTAGAGTTCTCACGCTTGCGCGGGAGAGGTCGCTGCCCCAGTGGCCGTCTGTCGGTAGGGACTGCCAAAAGCAGAAGAGATAGAGGTGGGGCCGCATACCAGGCGGGAGGGGTGAGCTGGTGGGGTCTGGACCAGAGGCACTACATTTGGAGAGCTCCCTCTGGAGAGTTCCCTCCTTTACTTTCTGCTATTCTGGCGCTTGAGCATCAGGTCCAAACCGACAGAAGAACAGGGCGCATACAGCGTCCACGCAGAAAACCAAGTCTCCTCCGGGTGACGAGTGTAGAGAGAGCCTGCTGGAGCAGCAAGGTGAGGAACAGAGCTGGGACCCCACCACTCAATTCCCTAGCCCCCAGAAGGAAGTCCCACCCTGGGCCAGCCCAGTTCCAACCCAGAGCAGAGGTCTCAGGGTCCAGAGCTACGTGGATGTCTAAGAAAAAAAAAACGGTTTATTTAAAATTTTGTACATAAATAAATAAATAAATATCTTCTGTGATTACAGAGACCATACAATTACACAGCTAGGCTGGGGTCTGGGGTAAAAGAAGGGACACCAGAGATGGTAAGCCGGGACTTTGGGGCAATGCAGAGTGTTCCCGAAATAAAACGAATCGATTTCCCCCACACCGACACTGCGGTAGACACTTCTCTCCAGGGTGAGGATCTTGTGGGTACAGCAAGAT